GTGTGGCAGGGCCCTTCTGGCGGGAGGGAAGGGCCCGCACGAGGCGGCAGGGCCGTCCCCGAGCCCCTTTGGACGCTGGAATCGGTGGAGGCACCAGGTCTCGGTGTATCGAAGCCTCCTGCGGGCACCGCGGCCCCTCGTGCAGAGAGGCTCAGGGAGGACCTTCCTTTCGGCCTCTTGATGCCCAACTTCTGACTTCCTTTCGGGGTGACGGTCAGACTTTAACTCAGCAGTGGGCACACCGTGGGTATAACTAAAGATATTATCAGATTCCCAAAATATACCGCGTAGAATCTTTATCACACCGCGTGGGAATGCATGTGCTCGCTCTTTCCTCCTTCTACTCCACAGTGAGTCATTTTCCAAAGTGCTAATTATTACATTTCCATTCTACCCCTGCATCTCCCCATTGCTTTGGAAAGAACAAGCTGCAGCAACCATATATAACTTATTTGTTCAAGTCCGACACGTTAAAGATTCTCTTTTTAATTTTTTTTCCAGGTGATTCCAAAGCATAAGTTTGCCCTTGTGAAATTTGATACCCAATACCCTTACGGTGACAAACAAGATGAGTTTAAAAAGCTGGCGGAGAGCTCGGGCTCCAGCGAAGATCTTCTGGTGGCTGAAGTAGGAATATCAGGTGAGCAGCTCCCAACAGAGCAGTGCATTAGGGATTAGTGGGGAGGAAATAGAATTCCCTGGGATTTCTGCTCCAGACAGGCTTTGAGGTAATTCCGATAATGAGGAATCAGGCTGGCGCAGCCTGGGCACAGTGAAATGCGTGTGTGCCCAGCCTGGGGCTCCAGCGGGGAGCGTAGGAGTGTCAATTATCTAATTACATCTCGTTAATGAAGCAGGCCAGCGCACATGGCTAAGCTGAATGCCACCCTCATTCTGTTTTATTTTATTTATTTCCAGAGAGAAACCTTGTTGGTTGATTTCTGGGGAACTGAGGCGTCATGAGAATTGTGTTTTAACATGGTCAAACAAAACAATCACTATGTTATTAATTCAGTGTAGGGAGCCTCCCGTTTATTGCTGATAAAGCACAGATAGTGATTATTGCACTGCAGCCGGAATGACTTGATGTTCTTGTGATTCTCTGTGACAGAAAAACAAAGAAGAGTTAATCACTGTCACCTTTCTTGTTCTTGCTCTGTAGGTCGACTAAGAATTTAAACTTAGGGGAATTTTCTTACTGGAAAATTTCACCCAGGTTGATATCTCTAAACATGCATGGTTTTACATGGGTAGCCTAGTGGAAATCTCTAAAGCTTTTGGTCCCGAAGAAACGTGCAGTTTCTGCATGATCAGATAATCTCTTGTAGTTTGGCATGCTGTCAAAATAAAATGGATATGTGTACACTCGCTGTGCTTAATTTGGAAAAAAAAAAAAAAACTCCAACCATAAATCAAATCGATCGATAGGACTAAAAAAAAAAAATGCTATTGATTTTCCGTAAGGACCCAGCTTGTGGATAGAGGTCCTGCTGATGTCTTTACACTATCACGGTCACAAAGAAAGTACCACGGGAGCCTTGTATTTTTGTATGAAAAATCTAGCAATAGTTCATCTTGCACAAATGACTTTCTGGAGTGTTTGTGTTTCAGTGTACAGCCTTTCCCTGCAAGGAAGTTATTAGGAAATGTGGAAACTATAGAGATGAAAATTCAGGATTTGGGTGAGGAGGAAAGATACTAATTGTTTTTTGTTTTTTATTTTGTTAACAACATGTGCCATGTTCTGTTTTCTCTTCACAGATTACGGTGATAAACTGAACACTGATCTGGGTGAAAAATACAAGCTGGATAAGGACAAATACCCTATTTTTTACTTATTCCAAGATGGTGACTTTGACAACCCCTTACCTTACACGGGGGAAATCAAAGTTGGGGCTATTCAGCGCTGGCTGAAGAGCAATGGCATCTACCTGGGCATGCCAGGCTGCCTGAAAGAGTACGATGTGCTGGCCAGCAAGTTTGTGAGCGCCTCTGAAAAGTCGGAGCGCCAATCGCTGCTGAAGAAGGGCCAAGAAACCTTAGCAAAAACAAAAGAAACCGATAAGAAGTCAGCTGAGCAATACTTGAAAATTATGAGCAAGATAGTGGAGCAGGGAGAAGAATTTGCTGCTAATGAAGTTGTCCGAATCACAAAACTGATTGAGAAGAACAAAATGAGTGATGGGAAGAAGGAGGAGCTCCAGAAAAGTCTCAATATCCTTGCTTCTTTCCTGAAGAAGAATAGTGAAAAAGATGAGCTCTAGTATGCTGGAGAACTTTGTACAAGCTGTGAAACACTGGCAGAATCCTAACCAGTTCTCCTTATACAGGCAAACTTCCCCCTGGCTTCAAGAGAGCAGCAGATTTCCTCTGATATTCTCTATTTGTTAGAAGATCGAGAGGAAGACATTCCTCAAAAGAAAAAAAATATATTCTAAGTATTCTAAAAGTTACCTTAAAGCAAGATGACAGTATTGTGTAATACTATTAAATAACAGTGTTAAAGTAGACAAAAAAAGCACTGGATTGGCCTGAAGCACATTCCTGGTGATTTTTACAGCTGTTCCCTCACAACAACAAAACTCGGTCTCACATTCCATCCTAATGTTTTAAAAGGTACAGAAGGGCTTGGTGCCTGTCTCATTCCCACCTTTCCCTGTTTTTTAGTGTCTGCTTTATTTTCTTTAATTTTCTCATCCTCATATCTGCTGTTTTCCCGGTAGTGCTGCGTGTTGTCTTGTTTCCCTTGCGTGCTGTTGACTAAGTGACCGTTTTCCCCCTTTTTTGTGCTTCCTCCCTCCATGGTTTCCATATCTGAAACCCTTTTTGATACTCTGATAGAGGGGGAGTTAAGTCCTAAACAAGGTGCTATTACGCTTAGACTTGCCCCAGTTTATGCAGAACTGTGATTTTTATTCTTTTTCCCCAAAAGCTTATAATTTAATTCAGGTGAATTTCCTGTGCTTTTCAGCCACATCTCCTTCATTTTTTTTTCTTTACCTATCCTTTCCCTTCTGACTTTACTTCCCAAGTTTAAAATATGTGTGTGAGAAGAGGAGACAAATAAGACCACTTAGGAGGTTTTGAGCAGTAGTTGCACCAATAAAATAACTTTTTCCAACCTTGTCTTCAACAATGTTTCATATAATCAACCTAAACCTGCAGCAGCATGGGGCAGTTATAAATAAGGTCTTATAACAGGAACTAAAAGAATTAATGCCCTTACCCTCCCTCTCTGCTGAGGCCCGGTAGCTGGTGCTGCTGGTGCTGCCCCTGCTGCTTGCAGTTCGGCTGGTTCCTGTTGTCCTCCTGACCACAGTTTGAAGAGAAACGTGTTCTATGCATTTTTGCCTGAAAACTGTGCTTTAACCTAAGCAAAAGCGCTTTCTGTGGGAGCTTTGCTGCCTTTTGAATCCTGGGCTGGGTGCAAGGAACAGATACCCCCGTGAGATAAAATGTATTAACAATGAATACTACACTAATAAATCTGATTCCAAGTAACAGCTGCTGCTTACGCTGCTTTCTTGAGAATCGACTGCTCTTTTCTGGAGTTAGTCGGGAAGGCACCTGTCACCTGGAAGAGAGGAACGCCCCAGAGAGGAGGTTTATAGCACCTCCCTCTGCCCCCAAGCGCTTTCCCTTGGGGAGGAAAGTGGTTCCGTGGCCGGGGGCCTGTGTC